GTGTTTATGAAATCTACTTTAACGAATTGGTGCTGTTAATGAAACATAAATAAACAGAGGGTAAGCCAATAGAGCCGTAGAAATATTTATATATATATATATATATAACAAAGAGACAATGTATTGATAAACACTCAAATCAAGAAGTAGAGAGTGCCTAGTTGGCTGTGTTCTTAGTACGCTTAGCACACGCCATTTGAAGGTGGCAGGTTCGATTCCCGGCAAGGTAACTATAGCTTTAGATTTGTATGTTGTCTAGTGTGTCCTTCTATCTTTCTACTTATTTTTATGAGTGCCGATCAATACATTGTCTCCTTGTTAATGAAGAACTCCTTAAATGCTGTTGGTACATTGAGAATATGATTCTAGATCGATATTTTTGTATATGGATCGGTATTCGTTTGCCAATATGCTGAACATCACATCGGTCGCATTTACTCCCCATATTTCCTAATATCAAGTTAAGGCTGGGTTGATCAGGAGGGTCGCTGGGTGATTGGTGGAGGGCCAGGGTGCTGTTTAGTATCAATGTATAAACTTCTTGCTCCTCTTTTTCCTGTTCTTGGTTCGCCCTTCTTCTTTTCTGCTTTGCGTTCACTGGGCTGAGCTGTAAACTTCAGCGGAAAGCTCTCGATGTTTGTCCACCTACGGACTTTAGTCTTGTTCCAGTAACTAATTGCTGCATGCACATCCGTTTCACATATCAGGCTTATCTGTATGCAGACTGTGGTTTCTGCCCATATATACCCCGAAATCGAAGTGTTTTCTTAATAAGTCGATTTCTACGAGTTTATTTTGTTTTCCTCACAATGGGGCCATGGAAAAAACACCAGGAGGTTCGCCCATAGAATGACAGTAAACTCATTTGTTTGCACTAATTTAGTCATTCCCCTTGTGGGATGCTAGTTTTCGTTAGTTGAAGCCCAACTCTGGCTCTTGCCAGGGGCCTCAATATAGCCCGGTCATAAATATGGTCTAATGGATAAACGCGGTCTCTGGGACCTCTCCACGGGTGATCCTCATCCATATGGTGGTACTTTCTGTCATCGAGTGTTTATCGCTTTTGTGATGTCCTGGTGTGGTAAAAGAAGATAGACAGATAGATTTGTTTGCACATAAGGGCTAGCCTGATATATCTGCGCCTGTGGGCTCAAGGAATACGAATTCGGCAAACCTATAATATATCGCCTTTTACTACATGCCTAGTGATCAGGGACAGTGAACCTACACTTCCTCTCTCCTCCCTCCCAGTGGGGCCCCTACAACTTACTCTGAGAATTAAAGATGCAGAAAAGTGTCCTTCACATTTTGGTAAGTGTTTTTGCGATCTTTAGACCTATCAAAGATGTCAACAGCGGGCAATGGAGAGTCAGAAGCAGCAACGAAATTCATTATCTATTTAAACCACCACTGATCACTGGCATCATGAGAGCTAATAGACTGAAATTGTTGGGACATTTTGAGAGAATGTCAGGTGACAGAGAGGTAAAAACTGTGTACATAAGGTAGCTGAATGGTAGTAGACCACAAGACAGACCAAGAAGATAATGGAGAGATTATGTCCAGAACTTGCAAACTTTTGGTGTCACATTATTAGCAAAACATGGTACTAGACCTATACTTTTATAGAACAATCTGCATTCGACAGGTAATACTGTCAACAGAACGCTTAGCCGCCTTTACTTCCCATAACGTATCCAGCATTGCCTTTAAGCTGGATCGGCATGGAAGCCCCATTTTAATTACAAAATTATGCATTTATGCGAAATCTGAACCTAAGACTTTCAGCCAGCCAGCATCTATCCAGGGTTTTACTCACTTGTTGGAAGCGCCATGTCAAAAGAAAATAGCATTAGCAGCTATCACTGTACCTTGCCTGTAAGAAACTAACCGATTGCTCATAAATATCCTTGTATGCAGACCAGTGGTTCTCGAACTTCCTAACGCCGCGACCGTTTGATAAGTTCCTTCTGTTGTGGTGACCCCCAATCATAAAATAATTTTCGTTGCTACGAATATTGGGTGGACGGACGGACAGATAGACAGATAGACAGATAGATAGACAGATAAATAGACAGATAGATAGACAGATAGATAGACAGATAGATAGACAGATAGATAGACAGACAGACAGACAGACAGACAGACAGACAGACCGACCGACCGACCGACCGACCGACCGACCGACAGACAGACAGACAGACAGACAGACAGACAGACAGACAGACAGACAGACAGACAGACAGACAGACAGACAGACAGACAGACAGACAGACAGACAGACAGACAGACAGACAGACAGACAGACAGACAGACAGACAGACAGACAGACAGACAGACAGACAGACAGACGGACGGACGGACGGACGGACGGACGGACGGACCGACCGACCGACCGACAGACAGACAGACAGACAGACAGACAGACAGACAGACAGACAGACAGACAGACAGACAGACAGACAGACAGACAGACAGACAGACAGACAGACAGACAGACAGACAGACAGACAGACAGATATGACACAGCATGGGCCCTAGAAGAAAAAGATAGAAGCGGGTCGAGAAAGGGGGGGGGGTATTATTCTCTGGCCGACATGGTGTCGTAGGTAGATAATAGCTTGTGGATTGGAAGGCCGTAAGTTCGGGTCTTGACGAACCCTGATTTTTTTTTTTTTTTAAATGACCTTGACTGGATACCAGATTAAATTCTAGGAAGTAATGGCGGCTGGCGTGGTATTAACGTCATCACCCACGGAGTGCTAATTGGTCTCTAAAATATACATCTAGCCCTATATGCCCAATACGCCTGTAGGCGTGGAAAATGTCCTTAATTATTATTCTTTGGCTTAGTGCAAGCAATCTTCACCTTGTGTCTGGCATCAACGGGACTGATAAAGCTAAATTGGCCTTCTTATGTATCTTTTTTTTTTAATATCCGAGCCTTCGCGTTCATACGAAGCAGAGCTTCCGCGGGTCTCGGAAATATAATAGTTGTATTTTAGTTGATAGATTACATTATTGATCTGTTTTGCCCCAGCCATTGATAGCTTCGCCGTGTTCGCTTGCAGATTGTTTTGTGCGGTTTTTGCAAGCGTGGAAGAAATTACTGCTGCTGCACATAGAGAATGTATGTGTGTTTTCAATGAGTACTTCGGCACGACATGGAGGTACTTACTTGCGATTAACTGCGTATGCAGCTACTTATCTGTTGTAACTGCTCCTTTCATCGTCGATGAACTGCATTTCTACTGCCAGACTGTTTGTTTTTACATATTTGACGGTTACCTTATGCATTTAATGCGTATATGCTAGTGGCTCTGCTGTTACTGCAAACTGTCTCCGTATTCTCACAGAGGATAGTGATGGAGATTCTGTATGTTTGTCGTTGGCCTAGGAACGGAGCAAATATGGGGTGGTCCGTTCGCTACAAAGTTGGAACTGGGAATTATCTGATTACCTGATGGGGGTACATGGATTGCTTATAGGAGTCACATTTAGGACCGTCACCACCCCCCCCCCCCCCCCCCGCCTCCTCCCCCCCCCCCCCCAAGCCATGTGCACATGTGAACTGAACCTGAGACAACAGATCACATCCTTCAAAACTGTTTCCAAATTCTGTTGGCAAAACTTCTTGCCAAGAGAGACACTAGTTGAAGCCAAACTTTACGGGCCGCTAAGCGAATTACAGAAGACAGTGAAGTTCATACTAGAGACAGCATTGCAAATATATTTATATGAAGCGAAAGAAAGAAAGAAAGAAGAAAGAAAGAAAGAAAGAAAGAAAGAAAGAAAGAAAGAAAGAAAGAAAGAAAGAAAGAAAGAAAGAAAGAAAGAAAGAAAGAAAGAAAGAAAGAAAGAAAGAAAGAAAGAAAGAAAGAAAGAAAGAAAGAAAGAAAGAAAGAAAGAAAGAAAGAAAGAAAGAAAGAAAGAAAGAAAGAAAGAAAGAAAGAAAGAAAGAAAGAAAGAAAGAAAGAAAGAAAGAAAAAATATAGAAAGAAAGAAAAAGAAGAAGAAGAAAAAAAAGAAGAGGAAGAATAAATAATAAGGCGGGGGAAGTGCTTCGATGGAAGCTGCAAGTAAAGCATCATTTTCTCTTACACGCAGAACACTAGAAGAATGGACCGCGTTTCGTTCAAACATAAATCAGTCTTTATAATAGACCTTATTAATAGCAGCATTCTTTATAGAGGTGTCGAGCTGACCTACAGAGGTGTCGAGCTGACCTATAGAGGTGTCGAGCTGACCTATAGAGGTGTCAAGCTGACCTATAGAGGTGTCGAGCTGACCTATAGACGTGTCAGGCTGACCTATACAGGTGTCAAGCTGACATATACAGGTGTCAAGCTTACCTAAAGAGGTGTCAAGCTGACCTATAGAGGTGTCGAGCTGACCTATACAGGTGTCGAGCTGACCTATAGAGGTGACGAGCTGATCTATAGAGGTGTCGAGCCGATCTATAGAGGTGTCGAGCCGATCTATAGAGGTGTCGAGCTGATCTATAGAGGTGTCGAGCCGATCTATAGAGGTGTCGAGCTGATCTATAGAGGTGTCGAGCCGATCTATAGAGGTGTCGAGCCGATCTATAGAAGTGTCAAGCTGGTCTATAGAGGTGTCGAGCCGATCTATAGAGGTGTCGAGCTGATCTATAGAAGTGTCAAGCTGACCTATAGATATGTCAAGCTGACATATAGATGTGTCAAGCTGACCTATAGATGTGTCAAGCTGACCTATAGATGTGTCAAGCTGACCTACAGAGGTGTCAAGCTGACCTATAGATGTGTCAAGCTGACCTATAGATGTGTCAAGCTGACCTACAGAGGTGTCGAGGTGACCTAAAGAGGTGTCAAGCTGACATATAGAAGTAACAAGCTGACCTACAGAGGTGTCAAGCTGACCTATAGATGTGTCAAGCTGACCTATAGATGTGTCAAGCTGACCTACAGAGGTGTCGAGGTGATCTAAAGTGTCAAGCTGACCTATAGAAGTGTCAAGCTGACCTACAGAGGTGACAAACTGACATTTAGAGGTGTCAAGCTGACCTACAGAAGTGTCGATGTGGCCTAAAGAGGTGTCAAGCTGACCTATAGAGGTGTCAAGCTGACCTATAGAGGTGTCAAGCTGACCTATAGACGTGTCAGGCTGACCTATACAGGTGTCAAGCTGACATATACAGGTGTCAAGCTTACATAAAGAGGTGTCGAGCTGACCTATAGAGGTGTCGAGCTGACCTATACAGGTGTCGAGCTGACCTATAGAGGTGTCGAGCTGATCTATAGAGGTGTCGAGCCGATCAATAGAGGTGTCGAGCCGATCTATAGAGGTGTCGAGCTGATCTATAGAGGTGTCGAGACGATCTATAGAGGTGTCGAGCTGATCTATAGAGGTGTCGAGCCGATCTATAGAGGTGTCGAGCCGATCTATAGAAGTGTCCAGCTGATCTATAGAGGTGTCGAGCCGATCTATAGAGGTGTCGAGCTGATCTATAGAAGTGTCAAGCTGACCTATAGATGTGTCAAGCTGACCTATAGATGTGTCAAGCTGACCTATAGATGTGTCAAGCTGACCTATAGATGTGTCAAGCTGACCTACAGAGGTGTCAAGCTGACCTATAGAAGTGTCAAGCTGACCTATAGATGTGTCAAGCTGACCTACAGAGGTGTCGAGGTGACCTAAAGAGGTGTCAAGCTGACATATAGAAGTGACAAGCTGACCTACAGAGGTGTCAAGCTGACCTATAGATGTGTCAAGCTGACCTATAGATGTGTCAAGCTGACCTACAGAGGTGTCGAGGTGATCTAAAGTGTCAAGCTGACCTATAGAAGTGTCAAGTTGACCTACAGAGGTGACAAACTGACATTTAGAGGTGTCAAGCTGACCTACAGAAGTGTCGATGTGGCCTAAAGAGGTGTCAAGCTGACCTATAGAAATGTCAAGCTGACCTATAGAAGTGTCAAGCTGACCTATAGAGGTGTCGCGGTGACCTAAAGAGGTGTCGAGGTGACCTAAAGATGTGTCAAGCTTACCTATTGAAGTGTCAAGCTGACATATAGAAGTGTCAAGCTGACCTAAAGAGGTGTCAAGCTGACCTATAGAGGTGTCAAGCTGACCTATAGAAATGGCAAGCTGACCTATAGAAGTATCAAGCTGACCTATAGAGGTGTCGAGCTGACCTATAGAAGTATCAAGCTGACCTATAGAAGTATCAAGCTGACCTATAGAAGTGTCAAGCTGACCTATAGAAGTGTCAAGCTGACCTATAGAGGTGTCGAGCTGACCTATAGAGGTGTCATACTGACCTATAGAAGCGTCAAGCTGATCTATAGAAGTGTCAAGCTGACCTATAGAGGTGTCGAGCTGACCTAAAGAGGTGTCAAGCTGACCTATAGAGGTGTCAAGCTGACTTAAAGAAGTGGCAAACTGACCTATAGAAGTGTCAAGCTGATCTATAGAGGTGTCGAGCTGATCTATAGAGGTGTCAAGCTGACCTATAGAGGTGTCAAGCTGACCTACAGAGGTGTCAAGTTGACCTATAGAAGTGTCAAGCTGACCTATAGAAGTGGCAAGCTGACCTATAGAGGTGTCAAGCTGACCTATAGAAGTGGCAAGCTGACCTATAGAAGCGTCAAGCTGACCTATAGAAGTGTCAAGCTGATCTATAGAAGCGTCAAGCTGATCTATAGAAGTGTCAAGCTGACCTATAGAGGTGTCGAGCTGACCTAAAGAGGTGTCAAGCTGACCTATAGAGGTGTCAAGCTGACTTAAAGAGGTGGCAAACTGACCTATAGAAGTGTCAAGCTGATCTATAGAGGTGTCGAGCTGATCTATAGAGGTGTCAAGCTGACCTATAGAGGTGTCAAGCTGACCTACAGAGGTGTCAAGTTGACCTATAGAAGTGTCAAGCTGACCTATAGAAGTGGCAAGCTGACCTATAGAGGTGTCAAGCTGACCTATAGAAGTGGCAAGCTGACCTATAGAAGCGTCAAGCTGACCTATAGAAGTGTCAAGCTGATCTATAGAGGTGTCGAGCTGACCTAAAGAGGTGTCAAGCTGACCTATAGAAGTGTCAAGCTGACCTATAGAAGTGGCAAGCTGACCTATAGAAGTGTCAAGCTGATCTATAGAGGTGTCGAGCTGACCTATAGAGGTGTCGAGCTGACCTATCGAGGTGTCAAGCTGACCTATAGAGGTGTCAAGCTGACCATAAATCACATTTGTTCATGTAGTAGCCTAAGCTTTAGATTTTAATGTTGTCTAGTGTGCCCTACTCTCCCTGCTTCTTATTTTTCTGTCTACATTTATGAGTGCCAAACAAAACACTTCTTTCAATGATATTTTACTGGTTTCAATTACCACGCTTCTGACGCAAGAAAAGATGCCTCTGTTAACCAAAGCAAATCTAATAAGAACGGTTTTTTAGCCAACATAGTGCTGCCAGTGCCAAACATGGACCCTTACTACAACTAGTGAGCTGAAGAACGTAACAACAGAGATGACCTGTCAGGAATGAAGAAATTATCAAATGACTAGGACTGAAACCAGTCATTCAATTCATGTAAGAAAAACAATTGACACGGTTTGGCTAGCTGACTAGAATGCCCTAATACCAGATACCACAGAGAGCCACGCTGAAGAAATATATTGAACACATAGCAAGAAGAAGACCATGCAAGAAATGGAGAGACATCATCAGAGCAACCTAACAGAAGTGAACACCAACGTGTACAATGCAAAGAACACAAACGATCCTTACATCTCCCCCAACATCTCGCTGAAGTAAATGGTTGAAGAGAAGAATAAGAAGAACAAGTTTCAAGGGGTCACCAGAAATTTCTTCTTCTTGGTTGTGGCGTTCACCAACAGAAAACTCCGGTAGAAAATTCTGCTTGTTCACCCACTTCTGAACTTTCGTCTTGTTCCAGAGCCTGAGTTTTGTGTGCACATTCATTTAACAGGCTTGGCTTATTTGTATGCAGGCTATTGGTTTTTCGCTCCTCGTGCACATGCACTCAGACTTCCAAGGAAAGTCCCATAATTAGTAGACTCTTACGACATGCGTGTTATGGTGCAATGGGTCTATAGGGCCATGGATTCCATGCGGGCAACCAGAGATTTATTTATGCTTACAAGTTTAGAACTTTCTTTGTTATGCCTAATATAGGCCAACGGGTGTTGAACAATATATCGCGAGCGCTGAGCTACAAATGTTTACGTGCGTGTGCAAGTGTAAGTGGATGAGTGGATGTGTATGTTTGTGTGTGTGTGTGTGTGTGTGTGCGCGCGCGCGCGCGTGCATGTGTGTGTGTGAAATCTTTGATAAAATCTTTGACACAGAAGACAACTATTAGAGTCAGCACTTCCGGTGTATTCTAATTAGGCGGCCATTTTCATAGTTTGTTCAATCTAGTTCTGCTCTTGGTAGGAATTGTGAATTCAACTAATAATTGGAAAAAAAATTAAACTGTTCCTTAGAACTTGAAAATGGAACGAATCGTAGGAGGAAAAATATGACCCTAGTTTCAGCATGATCCATACACAGTTGATGTCACTATGTTGTAATATTTGGGTAAGTTCTTAAAGTGCTCAGTTTGGTGTTAATACAAGCTAAAACAGTTTATACGATCTCTAAGGTAAACATGCACATACTGTTCCTCAGCCCTCTAACATACCTTATTATTTTTTAAGGGGTAGGGGGGTAGGCACATGGGGCCTATGCCGCAATGTTCCGGCGCCTATGATCTATCTCGGTCTGACATGAATATAGTGCAGAACAACTATGGAGCCTGATTTTCTGAGATGTTCCGTAACTTTCAGGAAGATTTCACATAACATATGAGTAACACCTGAGTAACCACATCTTGCGAAAGAATATCATACTACATATCACTACAGTAATCGGATCCAACTTTGCAAAATCTTTACAGTAAACATCTGTTAAAGTTTACATACAATTTGTTGTTGGGTGTGTGTCAGTGGGTAGAACCTCTACACCTGTACATATGGAAAACATTATAGCCCAACAAAATGAGGGAGGCGTCGTTTAATTGGTGTTGGCACACACACACAGACACACACACATGAGAATGATTAGGGGTGGGGGGGGGGATTACAAACAAAACACTGAAGAGAGGGCGTTTATTCACTACCTTTAAAAAAAGTGAGGGGCGTCAAAAGTACATCCGAAAAACTGTTTTCAGTACTTTTTTGGCAAAGTAAAATACTCACAATTTTAAAATTATAAATGGTGGTCTAAAGGACGTTCGCTCTCCTACGAAATACGGCCTGCTAAATCAGAAGGAGTTGAAACCAAGAAGGAAACATCAGAATAGTTGAATAGTTGATAACCGATAGGGAATGGGCAGTCTGACTTGGAGTAAAGAAGCCTTAAGCCTAGAGACGGTGCAAATACCAGAACTTTAGCCACAAAAATATCGCACCAAAATAAAAACAAGAGCCAACAAATATAGCCGGAGATTGTTAGCAGCTTCGGCTAGCTAGGTTGAACGTGGTTGATTTTTTTCCACAAAAGGAATTGATATATATATAAATCACAAACTCATTCTGGTTTTCGTGTGTTTATTATAAATAACGTGTTCCAAAGCAAAGCAAGGAAATTAAATCTAACATTATATATATATAATGTGCTTTACAATGGAACGTCTATGTATGCTTTGGGGAGGGGACATTTACTGATCTGACATTTTTAGGGGCAGATTAGGCCCTAAAGAGTCTTATCTCTCCCCCCCCCCCCCCCCCCCCCCCCCCCCCCCCCCCCCCCCCCGACTTCTCCACAAAGACTGACTTGGTAGAAATTTAACTACTACTACGACTATATCAGCGGTTCTCAACCTATGGGTCGCGAACCTTTCGAACATTGAACGAATCTTTCACAGGGGTCTCCTAAGACCATTGGAAGCACATATTTACTGAAGTTATAAAGTAACAACAAAAATATTTTAAGGTGGGCGTCGCTAAAACATGAGGGACTGTATTAAAGGGTCGCGGCATTGAGAAGTTTGAAAACCACTGGTCTGGATAAAGAGTAGTATTTATAATTTGCGGCCAAAGTGTTGGTACAGCCCCCACGCAGACACATCTGCAAATCAACGGCATTTGCCGGGAAGAAAGAGAAGAGGAAATTGTGGGTCATGTTGCCTTGATGCCTACTTAATTGAGGATGACGAATTAGTAGGTTAAGCAAGTGGAACAT